CTTACAAAATCAATAGAGATAACTCACTTGAGATCAATTCTCTAATGGTATCATGTAGATGATGCATATATCTCGACTTACCATTATACATAAAGGTATGTGCTCTATCAATTTCGTTTGTTTCAGTTAATAAATATTGTGGACACATAATTTGTTTATTCAAGAATATTCTTTAAGAAATTCTAAAGCTATTCAACTTATTATCTAGACTTGTCTAGAGCTACAAACTTAGATCCATTGTCGATCTAGTTATAACCATTTTCTTGAGGATTTTCATGACACGGTTCATCTTTCCAATGTGAAACATATTCACTTGTTCCTTTGATATCTTGAATATAAGATATTCAACTAACATAGGAGTATCCTTATGGAATAATGCAATTCATGACCTTGAGCATATTTGAAATATCTTTATTCTCTCTCAATCGCTTTTCAAAAGTTTAACACCTGAATAGCATTTAAAACTGCTTAAACTGCTCACGGAAAGAAAAATCTAGTCTAATACAATTTATTTAGACATTTTATTACCATTTCATATTTCATTTGGTTAATGTTTTTAACCTTTGTTCTTGGATAAATGTTGACTCGTATACATTGGAGTTCAAGTTATGCCGAAAACATCTTTGTAAAACTTCTTTTGTCCACGTAGTGTGAATTCATTAATATAAGAACCTCATAAAAATGTTACATTTTGAATGTCCAAAGTCATATCAATCAGTCTCATATTTTTTTTCATGTTAAATCTTGAATTTAACAAATCTTTGGCAATTGTTACCATTTCATTGTTAGTTATAACAATAAGTATGTCAACAACATAGGATGTTTGTAATTTTGACATAAAACATTTTTCACACTCCTTTGTCATCATGACAATATCTTTGGTTAAATCTCATTAAACATCTAGACTTATTTTTATTGATAGCCTTCGATCAAATATCTCCAAAAAACAAAGTATTCTTTGATTCTAGTATCATGTTCTTGTGATCTCATGGTTCTTAGATTCATACACAAGATATCGATATGCATTGATATAATCTAAATAGCTAATGAAAATACAATCTACAATTTTGGAGTTTTTTCCGTTTCCTCGAAAATGAAATCATTATCTTAAACCCCCCACATTTTTTAAGTAATTGTTGAAAGATTATATACATTTCCATAACTTAAATGGTGTCTTGTCATTTTTTTCCTTTTCGAAGAACCTTATTTAAAAGTTAATTCCCTAAAAAATAGCTTTCCCCCACATGTTCTGTAATAACTCAGAACTTCTTAGCATTGTGTTCATCATTTTCTATTATGATTTAATTCTTTCACTTTGCTACTTCATTTAATTTAGAAAAGTATGATGGTGTTATTTCTTCATAATTTATTCACCACCATAATCATATTTTTACTATCTTAATATTTTTATTAAGTGGTTTCAACTTTAAATTTATAGAGAATAGATTTCTCTATAGCTTCATTTTACTCTTTAGAAAATATATAGAAATACTTTTGCTATCACCAATGAAAGTAATAAAATATCTATTCCTTCTTGTTGTAAAGTAGATCAACCAACCCCATTAATAAGACATGAATTCAATTTCCAGAATAAATTACTTTCAATATCTCACTTTACAAACATATAGAGATTTTCAAGAAATAAATTTAACGATTTATTTTTTTTTCAAATAGAGTCATACTTGATTCCCAAGAAAATAAATTCAATCAATGATTTATTTTATTTTTCAAAATAGAAAATAAATCTAATGATTTATTTCCTTTTACAAAATAGGAAAATAAATCCAACGATTTATTTTCTTTTGCATATCAGAATCATATAAGATTCTTAGGAAAATAAATTTATCGATTTATTTTCTTTTTAAAACAGAAAAATAATTCTACATTTATTTTCTTTACAAAAAAGATCATATAAGATTCAAAGGAAAATAAATTGAATAATTTATTTTCTTTTACAAAATAGGAAAATAAACTCAACGATTTATTTTCTTTCATAAATAGGAAACAAATCCAACGATTTATTGCATTTTACAAAAAAAAACAAAACCACGATTTATTTTCTTTTACAAATCAGAATCATGTGGACATTCTCAAGAAATAAATTCAAATTTTATTTCTTTATTCAAGATTCCTAAGAATAAATTTAACAATTTATTTTTTTCAAAAGATAGAATCATCAACGATTCTCAAGAATATGAATTAGAAATAGATTTCTCTATAGCTTCATTTTTACTCTTTAGAAAATATATAGAAATACTTTTTGCTATCACCAATGAAGTAATAAAATATCTATTCCTTCTTGTTTGTAAAAGTAGATCAACCAACCCCATTAATAAGACATGAATTCAATTTCCAGAATAAATTTACTTTCATATCTCACTTTACAAACATATAGAGATTTTCAAGAAATAAATTTAACGATTTATTTTTTTTTTCAAAATAGAGTCATACTTGATTCCCAAAAAAATAAATTCAATCAATTGATTTATTTTATTTTTCAAAATAGAAATAAATCTAATGATTTATTTCCTTTTACAAAATAGGAAAAAATCCAACGATTTATTTTCTTTTGCATATCAGATCATATAAGATTCTTAGGAAAATAAATTTATCGATTTATTTTCTTTTTAAAACAAGAAAAATAAATTCTACAATTTATTTTCTTTTACAAAAAAGAATCATATAAGATTCAAAGGAAAATAAATTGAATAATTTATTTTCTTTTACAAAATAGGAAAATAAACTCAACGATTTATTTTATTTCATAAAATAGGAAAACAAATCCAACGATTTATTGCATTTTACAAAATAAGAAAAAAAAAACCAACGATTTATTTTCTTTTACAAATCAGAATCATGTGACATTCTCAAGAAAATAAATTCAAAGATTTATTTTTCCTTTACAAGATAGGAAAATAAATTCAAAGATTTATTTCTTTTTAAAATACAGGAAAAAAATACAGTGATTTAATTCCTTTTTAAAAAATAGAATCATATAAGAAAATAAATTCAAAATTTTATTTCTTTATTCAAGATTCCTAAGAAGATAAATTTAACAATTTATTTTTTTCAAAAGATAGAATCATCAACGGTTCTCAAGAATAATTGATAATTTATTTATCTTATGAAGTTAGAATCATTCAAGATTCTCAAGAAAATAAATTCAACTATTTATTTTCGTTACAAAGTTAGAATTGATGAATATCCTCAACGAAATAAATTCAACTATTTGTTTTCCTTACAAAAGTTAGAACCATTCAAGTTTTCAAGGAAATAAATTCAACAATTTATTTTCCTAATAAAGTTAGAATCATTCTAGATTATTTTCCTCACAAAGTTAGAATCATTTAAGATTCTCAAGTAAATAAATTCAACAATTTATTTCTCTTACAAAGTTAGAATCAACGCAAGATTCTAACAATGAAATAAATCCAACGATTTATTTCCTCCTTTTTAAGGTCATATCATCTGTTAAATGACATGATTAGCAATAAAATCCAAACATAGATATCATGTCAACTCGATTATGTTTAACAAACATAAATCAAAAGGAATTAGTCCTTTAACTTTAGCAACCCACTAATCAAAAGGAATTAATCCTTTGATTTTAATTTTTGCAGTCCAATAATCAAAAGAAACTAATACTTTGATTTTAATCCTTGCAATCCAAAAATTGAAAAGGAACTAATAATTGATTTTAATTTCCGCGCCTGAGTAATCAAAAGTAATAATCCTTTGATTTTAATTTTGGCAACCCAATAATCAAAAGGAACTAATCCTTTGATTTTGCTTATGGTAACCCCATAATCAAAAGTATTGGATTAAACACCAAATTCAATTGTATCTATAAATTTATCAAAAGAAATTATTAATACCATAATAAAAATTTAGTGTTTTTAAAACACAAAAAATAATTAATATAACATTTAATAATTATTATAATACCAAAGGTATTCTTCATTCATATATTTAATATTCCATATTAAAAGGCAAAATATAAATGGTAATAATACCATATCAATAATCATGAATATATCATGATTAATGCTTACATCACTACAAGAAAATATACCTTAATGACACACGAACGATGAAACACGCTAATTATGACTTACAAAAATGTGTGTCATAAAAAAATGTCATGTTTTTTAAAATCCGAACGATTTATGACTTACAATAATGTGTGTCATATTTAATAGTCATAATCTAAAAATTTTGCAAAAACACAGAGTACACTTTTATAGTGTGTCATCTGTAAAAGTCGTCTTTTAATTTCCCCATTATTTCATCATTTCTCGCTTCTTCCCCCTTGATAATCATTCACGCCGTGCTTTCCCCCTTTTCCCCTTTCCTCTTTACAGACGAAGGGAGTCAAAATTCAAGGGTTTCCACAGGTATTCCTCATTCTCTATTCAAGACCGCCGACTCTACAGGGTAATCGAGCTCGACAATGGCCTCATCGCTTTGCTGGTCCACGATCCCCAGATTTACCCCGACAGACTTCCTAAAGGTTCTTGTTTGCTAGATAAGGCTAAGACTGAAGGTGGAACTAAAGATGATGGAGAAGATGAACATGATGAGAAATGGAGATGAGGATGGAGATGAAGAAGAAGAGGACACTGACGATGAGAAACAAATTGAAGAGAAGGCCGTTTGAAGTTATAGAGAAGATTGGAAGAGGAACTTTTGGAGCTGCTTTTCTTGTTCTCCATAAACTTGAGAAAAAGAAGTGAGTTTTGTTTTCCTTCCTTCAATAATTATAGTTGCTAGATATAAATTTCCATGGGATTGATAATGTTAGGTTGTTCTTCGTTTTGTTATCTGAATAATGAATTTCTGGGATTGGTTAAGCAACAAAGACCATATTCTAAATATGTGGCCTTTATTTCATTACTGTAATACATGTCCTATAGCAATTAATTATTGAATTTAGCCTCAAGTCTGTATGATTCTCTTTTATTTTTCTTACTATGTTAGGTATGTGTTGAAGAAGATCCGGTTGGCCAAGCAAACATACAAGTTTAAGCGTACAACTCACCAAGAGGTCACTTTTTTAAAACCAAAATTTCACTCTTCACGTTTGTTTTATGTAATTAACATGCGAATTGTGATGACTGAAAGTTGCATGGATTATTCCATACTCGATTAGGATTTAAATATTTTCCATCTGATCGTTATCACGATACACTTGCATAAATTAACCTTTCTTAGTGTTGAACTTCTTGTGCTTGAACAGAAACCGTGACCTTTAAAATCTTGATTTAGGAGATATTTTGATTACGGGATGTCCATGTTTTGTTCAACAATGACACCTTTTATTTATGATAACTTCTAGGATGCACCTCTTTATCTAGCCAAACAGATGCTTCATACCCTGAGATCCGAGTTAACACTGTTTTCTACTCTGTTGCTTCTCTGAAAGCTGTGATCTTGAATTTTTCCTTCTTTTATCTGCTAAACAAGACTGATATATTTAATATCCTACCTTTAGATGTATTGTTTTGGTCTTTCTGGTAACAAATATGCACGTATGCAACTCGCACCTTCTCACAACTCGTCTGAAATCTAAAGACAACCATTTAAATCATCTGAAAATATGTATATGTTGCTACTTATGTTACCTAGACTATTTTACTTATGTTACCTAGACTATTTTTTTCCTTCAAATACTTGTGTTCGAAACATACTCAACATTAATAGAAGTACAATCCTCCAAATAATGAAAAAGCTACTAAAAATCGATTATATGCATACCAGATACATACTTATATTCACCCCGAGTCCAAGTAACATATCATACACCTCTGCCATTCATCCCTCCTCCCAACTTCATCTTTTCCTCGAGGAAACCCTGGCATAATGTGTGCTTGGTTTAAGGTTGAGGTAGATAAATCACTGTTTTGATTGAGAGAATCTTCTACACCGAAGTTAATCTCATATATCTTTTGATGGGAATATCCTTTCGACATTGTACATTTTGGGTAAAAAAGATTCCTAGTTGATTAAGTTTATATGAGATAAAGACAAAAATGGTTTCACTTATCCAAAAAATTAGGATGCCCTTTGCGAACTTGAGAGAGTAAAAAGAAATTTTTTAATCGAAATTCTCATTGAAAAGCAAATAGACAAACTGTTTTTACAGGCTATGGATTACAAGTTAAGAATACTACTAAGTTTATTTTCTTCCCAACTTTTATCTCCTAAACCTTATATTATGTTAAGAAACATAATCCTAATTGTAAAATATAAATAAACTAAACTTCGTAAAATAAAATTCCCTTAATTCATCTCAAGTCATTGCATGTTTGAGAATTTGTCTTGTGTTCTTTGGCTGTATTGCAGATGGAATTGATTGCAAGACTAAATAATCCATATATTGTTGACTACAAAGATGCTTGGGTTGATAAGGTGAAAGAGATACTTACTGTTTGGATTTATGTTTGATATGAAAGAGCTGTTGAGCAATAAATTTAGGTTGTTCGGACCATGACTGACTCTTCAGTTATTTGTTACTTTGCTGCCTTGCTTTGCAGGGAAACAACATATGCATTGTAACCAGCTACTGTGAAGGAGGGGACATGTAAGTTGAAACAAAAATATTATCGATCTGTTTTCTCAGATTATGATGAAATACTCAAGTTCATTAAAGGTCTTAAGAACGTTCTATATTATGATAAAAACATTGAATATTTATTATCTTCAACCTTTTCTTTTGATGGAAACAGTCAAATGATATGAAAAGAATAATTCTCAGCTTTGAAGTTAATATGTGGGATTTTAGTTAGTTATATAATGTATGTACTATGGTGAATAGCTTTAATCAGATTATTGCCGAACTAAATAGTCAAAAGAAGATGTCAGATGCTGTCTGATGCTTTTGGTACATTAATGAGTATTTCGAGGCACTTACATTTTGTGGAACCAGGGCTGAGCTTATTAAAAGGCCCGAGGGATGCACTTTCCCGAGGAGGTAATCCAATATTCCTTGACTGAGCTACTTTTTGCACATGCTAGAGATGATATTTACCCCTTATTGTTCTCTTTTTTCTCCCTATAAAATTTGCAAATGGATAACTCAGTTACTCTTGCTTGTGAACTACCTGCACTCGAATAGTGTTCTTCACAGGTATCTGAAAGTACTGCTTTTATCTTTATCCCTCTTGTGAAGAAAAGCTATTAAATGGTAATGCTATGTTCTAACTTGTATTTTGATCTCAGTATTCAAGTATATTCCTTACGAAGGGCAATGACATTCGCCTTGGTATAGAAAAGGATTATCGTAACAGAACCCCTACTTCTGTTGTCAGGTTTGGCCTCCATTTTTTCTATCTTCTAACATATTTATGTCTTATAATGGACTGTGCAGGTGACTTCGGACTGCAAAATTAATTAACACAAAGAAAAGGATGCATATGCATGTATGAAGAAAATGTGAACAGTCCACAGCTTTGTTATCGTAACAGAACCCCTACTTCTGTTGTCAGGTTTGGCCTCCATTTTTTCTATCTTCTAACATATTTATGTCTTATAATGGACTGTGCAGGTGACTTCGGACTTGCAAAATTAATTAACACAAAGAAAAGGATGCATATGCATGTATGAAGAAAATGTGAACAGTCCACAGCTTTGATACCTTATAAATGATAAGTGATTCTTGATTAGTCTGTAGAATGTAGGTAGTATTTTTCATTTGCTTCAATTTCCAATGCTTAAACCCTCAAGTTTATTCAATATGCTTAACTACTAATAGTACTACTATTATGCTGATATCAGATTTTAATACCCTAAAATTAATATGATTGCTACTATTCCCTTCTTGTTTAGAACCATATAAGAGATAAACAATGCTTACACAATTGTGTTTCTGGTTTATTCATTGAGAAATTTTTTTTCTGCTTAAACCATGATGTTGTATATGTTTTTGTCATGTGTACTAAAGCACAAATGTAATATCTTCTTCTCCCCACTTTTTCCAGAGGGCAAAGGAAGCCTACATTATTTTCTCAAAGCTAAGGGATGGATAACCTTTATATCTGTCGGTGTTTGAGATGATGGAATACAACGATCTTCTGTAGCTCATATCTTTAGCATGTCCATTCATCTTACAGATTGTGGTTTGAAAAAGGTAGCATATGTTGTTTCATATTCTAAGCAAATAAGAGTATCTAAAACTTCTTTACTGTTTTTCATTTTATGTGGTATTACATATAGTTCCATTCAAATGCGCATGAAAAAATCATCTCAAATTCCTAGGAGGATATTGGCTTTCTTTTTCTTCTCATTGTGTTTCTGTAATTGGCAGTTCAATTTTATAATAAACTGTACCTAGTCAGTTACTGCTACTGTGATTATTTTTGTATTTTTGTTTATATATTGTATGTGCTTATATTTTTAAGGTTGCTTCACGAATTTTGTGTTTTTAGCCACAATTGTTAATAGTGCTTCACTTTTTCCTTGCAGATATTTGACATCATTGGTTATCTTTATCAATATCTTAAATTATTGTGTCAACTTTCCCCTCAAGAATGGATATTTAATGTTGTTTTTGATAAATATAACTAGGAAGCTATTTTTTTCTAATTTCTGGTATTTACTGTTGCATTCCATTAATTATTCCTTTTGTTTCTTTGTTGCAGAAAATTTGCTTGTTTATCCACCAGAACATGTTATCTTTGGAGACTATGTCTATGAGTTATGTGATGAGGAGATGATAAGAAAGATTCTAGGTTTCACTCCCAGAAACATGAGAATTGATGTAGTAACAAAATCCTTCAAGCTAAATGGTACCATGTTGTTCGATTTAGCCATCATATTCTTATTGTAAAATATTGGACCATGTTTCTATGTTCTAAGAGTCTAAGAACAATGAAGATCTAATTTGAAGCCATATGGCTTTCTTTATGACACAACTACCAGTTGGTTGGATTGTCCCTTTTACATTGTAAATTCCCACAATTATGTTTCTTATGTTATGTTGATTCTGTTTAACTAAAAGGTGCTTAATTTCTTTTATTTATACTGATAATTATGGGAAAGTAACTGAGTGCATATACTGATAAATTCCCATAAATGTGTGTCATCTTCATTTATGACAGGGGCTTCAATGACATGCAATGTAAGTCATACAGTGTCATTAATTTATGACACGCAAATGTGTGCCATCTTTATTATGACTGAGGCTTCAATGACGCTCAATGCGCGTCATAAATGAGCGTCATAAATGTGTGTCATAAATGCGCGTCATAGATTTATGACGAACAATTGCGTGTCATATATGATTCATGTCGGTGGCTTCAACGACAGACATTTGTGTGTCATCCGCACCCATAGATGACGCGCAATGCGTGTCAGTAAGGGGTTTTTTTCTAGTAGTGCATGCACTTTTATGAATGAAATCTTACCATAATGATATTCCCTAAAAATATTATTACATTAATTCTTTAATTGCTATATGTTTATAGGCAACAACCATATAATGAAGAAAATTCGTAGAGAACGAATCATATTTATTCTTTATTACATAATCAACATTCTGAAAAATTAGTAACAAATGTTACTTTAACGACAATTTCTATTTAAATAGATTTGCCCACATTCAGAAAACCCATTAAAACGTCGTGATAAATCCCGAAACATATTTATTATATTTTCACGTTTTCTTAAGATTTTCAAATCGTCTATTATATTTTTTAGAAAGGTAGAAGATGGAATCTGTCTTAAGATTGTTACAAGTATAACAATCTAATACAATAAAAAGGAAATATTATTTAAATAATTGATTCACACATGTTGTGGCAAATACCACTTAATTCTATGGCATGATCTCATCATAAAGTTTGGGTACATGAATCAAAATAAAACAAAAAATGATTAATGATATGGGAAAATCATTCTATTAAATAATTAAAAGAACGGTATAGAAATAAATACACAGTTTTTACGGAAAAATGATTGGAAACAGGTTGAAACCTGCAACTACATGGTTTCCTTAAGACAGATTTTCGGGCACTCCTTGGTGCTCGAGATCTTTGGTCGTCTGTCTCCCAGGATACAACAATGAGATGATTAGCGCATAGTAGCACAACTGTCGAGATCACTAACTATTCCTTACTTTTGTCTATCACCACAAAAAACTAGAGGAGAGAAAAACTTTTTGAATAGTTTTTTATTTGTTGTTTTTAATTTTGTTTAACCTCGTAGGTTAACACATTATTTATAGGGATTTCACATTGTGAACTATTGGAAATTTTTTATCTAATGAAGCATTAATGAGAATCAAACAATTAGGCAATTTATAAAAGTATTGTTTTGATTAAAGGAACCTTTTAATATTTAGCCTTTTAATTCCAAAACAAATTTGGAAAGATTTTCTCTATTTGAAAAAAAATATTTCATCTTTAGTTTAAAATATCAGCAAGCCCACAAAGAGCCTGATCAGTTCAAACATTCAGGTTACTCACATCATGCATGTCTGCGCATTTATGAACCAACAATTGGTTCCACATTTTCCTCAACAACCTCTGGATCAATTTCTCTTTAAATGATTCAAAATTATCAATTTTTCCAACACAACCTAGACAGGTTCCATTAAGCATTTGATGACAATCATATGTTTGAACAATTTTTGTTAGACTTGGATTTGGATTTTGATGACAATCAACCTAGAAATGAAATTTGAAACATAACAATGTAAACTTTGGCATATTGCTTGTGTGTCTTATACAGGTTAATTTACTAGAGGGAATAAAGAGTAGAAAATTGGATAAGTTTCTTCCCTCTTGGATTAAGATAACTTACAATGTTGAATCTTGTAAAAATCCTAACTAACAAAATATAATTCTTACCCTAAACATGCTAAAAAACCTTCAATGTTGAATCTTGCAAGCAAATATTGTAACGCCTCAAATCTCTGGTTAGTAGTTCGGGTTAACCTGAGAATTATTAAATGAGCCCATAAACTTATAGGATAACTTGAACCAAATTGAGTTTGGAAGTGGGCTTGAATTAGGCCCAAATGATAGAGAATGGGAATCATTTTAATATTAGGATTAAGAGGAATGACTAAAAGTTCAATTAACCATTTTTTAAACAAAAGCATAAAACCCTTAATTAACGGTGATATCACGTTGGTCCTCTACCTATTATCTCACCAAGCACTTAACTTTGTCTTTCCTTCCTTTTTAATTATTTTCTTCATCTCCAAGAGCTAGACAAACATTAAAGCTTTTAGTTTTTCAAGCCTAGTCCAAGGATTTTAAGGTAAGAAATGAAATCACCATCGCTAAAGCTTCTCATCAAGCCTTTAAACTCATGTTTTGGTTAAAGTTTCTTAAAATGAGTTTTAGAGAGATTTAAGAAACCAAGTGATTTCCAATTTGTTTTTAGTTGATTTAAGTTATAAGAAGTGTTTGTAAACTTAATCCAAGCTCTTAGATGAGTTAGTAACTCATTTTCTTACATTTGATTAGTGAAAGAAGTGGGAGAGAGCTCCAAGTCTAGAGGAAAAGAAAAATTGACCCTTGGGTTATTGGAGGACGTTTCTAGCAGCTTAAAAACCAACGTAACATATTCACAACTCCTTATACTATTTGTAAGTCAATAGAAAATCATTCTGGCTTAAGAGTTGAATTATGAAGCATAGTGGAGCATTTCATGGTAGATTCTATTTTTTTGGTGTTTTAGCATACTCTAAAGCCCTTGTTATGATCCTTCTATATCACGTAAGACTTTAATAAGATTTGGGAACCTTATTACAACATATTGGGAAAGTTTGGGAGTCAAATTCATGCCCAAATAGGGTATTTCTGGGCATGAGTATCGGTACTGGAAGAACAATACGGATATTGTTCTTACGAGAAGCAAAAATAAGGGAATTGTGTGAGGGGTATCGAGAAACTAGGGTCTCGTTTTGAGACCCATAGGTATGGTATCAAGACCAATTTTCCAGTGTGCATTTTTGGTATTGTACTTAATGG